GGAATTTTTAGGTGTTTGATTGGAAAAAGTTGGGAATTTTTAGGTGTTTTATTGGAAAAAAGTGGGCAATTTCAGCTGACAGCAACAGACTGTGCCTGTGGGAGGGGATGGGATGGGGAATCCGTGGTCCCAGCAGATCACTGGTGTGAGCTGCTTTAAACTGGGACTTGGCTGGGCTGTTTCGAGTGAAATAAAAGTTAATATTGGGATTTCTTTAAAGAAACTCCCAGAATGCAGCAAGATGTGAGTGCTCGAGTCTGGCCTAAGCCTGTGGGTTTGCTGTTGTCACAGGTGCTGGCAAAAATAGGGAAATTGTGAGGGAAAATCTCCCTGGTTTGTGCTGGAAGTGCCCAGTGGGAGCATTGGGCTCTGGATTTTCCAGCCCCAAATGCACATTATTCATTTTGAAGGTGTTTCCTTGGCTGCCCCTGTTTGCAGCTGTGTAAATCTGTTTGTTCTCAGTTCAGCTCTGGCAGGGTCTGGCTCGTTGATGTTGCCCAAGGTCACTCCCAAATCTCCAATCCCAACTTTTATCCTCCTGAACAGATTTTTTTCATCGTAATGGACAGCAATTCTGGATTTCCAGTGCTTGGCAGAAGGAGCTTGGATTAAGTTCCACTTTCCTGGAGAATCCTTTCCTTCCCTCTGCACAGAGCTGAGGGATGCTGAAAATTCTGGGAGAGAACTCCAAGTTTTCTGGGATCCTGGGGTTTCTCTTCCCCCTCTTTTCCTTTCATCCTGGGTGATTTTTTGGGAAAACTCCTTGCCCTGGAGCTGGAGCCTTCCACATCCATCAGGATATTCCTGTAGAATTCCCAGCCCATTGTAACAGCTGGGCTAAAGGATTCCTTCACGCCACGTTTTTCAGAAGTTCCAGAGAAATTTCAGATTGATTAAAGACAATCCAGACTCCCATCATTTCCTCCTTCTGAGGGATATCCCCCTATTTGGACTGAAGTCTCCAAAAAAAAATTTTAAAACACTTATTTCTTCTACCAATGAACCTGAGTTTATGCCAAGCAATAGCAGAAAAGTCAATTAATTTTATAAATTCCTGTGGTAACAACAGAAACATCACAACATGAAAAAAAAAAAAAACAAAACAACAAAAACAAACAGTGAAAACCAGAACAAAGCCAAATTGTAATTTATTATTGTACTGTTTTAATAGAAAGCGAGAATTTCAAATTAAAACCAGATTTATGGACGCTCCCGCACTAATTTAATTTGGATTTCTGCTGGAATTGGGAAGGAGCTGACTCAGGTCTGAGCCCCCTGCTGCAGGCAGGGGATGATTAAAGGCTGTTTCTTGTCGGGGGAGTGCTGAGCAAGGCTTTGGCTGTGGAGAGCTGGAACTCAGCCCCACGGTGCTAAAGAGGCTTAGGAGCTCTGCAGGGCTGCAGCTGGAGATTTCCTCCCCTGCCCTTTGTGCTTTTAATCAAACTTTTTCATCTTGCCACAGGAATCGCTACAATTGATTTACTTTTATGCTATTGCTTGGAATAAACTCCAGTTCTTCAGCAGAAGAAATAAGGGATTTTTGTGGTTTTTGTTTTTTAGACTTTGCTGGGATGTGCTGCTGCTTCCTGCAGCTCTTTTGCCAATTATACAGGTGGGAATCCAGGCCTGGGTTTATCTTTTTTAGGTTCTGCATCTCCTGCCCTCCCCGTTTTGTTGGTGTTGGGGTCTGTCAGGAGGCCAGGAGGTTTCCATCCCTCCTGCTCTGCTTTCCCACTCAATTAAATGTGAATTCCATGGCTTGGGTTTGTCACGAAGCAGGAGCCACGGACGGGATTTGAGTGCTGAGCTCTGCCAGGCTCCTGCTCCTGGCCCAAAGCTCAGCACAGGTTTGGTGTGGTGCTGATCCCAGCAGAACCAGCCCCAGTGCCGCTGCTTTTGGAGGCAGGAAGGAATTTATTTTCCTTTTTGTTCATCCCCTCCTTGTTGTGTTTCCTCTTTAGATCCTTTTTTCCTCCTTCAGGCTGGTTTGGGGTGGAAGGGGCTTTAAAGCCCAGCCTGTTCCACCCCTCCACGGGGTCAGAACCAGAGCATCCTTTGGGCTGGAATGAGATTTTTATTCATTCTTGGAGGCAAAACCTGAAAGGCAACAGAAACACCCTGGTCTTGATTCCTCCAAATTCCTACCTGGCTCCATTAGCTTTAATTAATTAAGCCAAGGTGATTTAAGTACAAAATCCTGTGCTTGAGGTAAAATATTTTCCTGAGTATTTCCTGCCTGGGGGTGACGTTTGTGGGGTTTCCTCAGTCTGACAAATCCTTCACCCTGTGGCTACCCCTGCCAGAAACCAGAGTTTGACTTGCTGGCAGCTCCAAAAATCCTCATTTTCGCCCTTAAATGGGGCAGGCAAGGGCAGGAATTCCCAGGAAGGGTTTGGGGAGGGTGAGGGAGGCTTTTTTCTCCTTCCTCACCCAATTTCCCACCCACCACCCTCAGCCAAACAGCACAAAGAGCTCTGCAAAATTCCTGCTGCCACATTTTCCCTCAGAAAACGCCGTTTTGTCAAAAATTTCCCCCTGTATGAATAATATTTGATGGAGAAAGCTGTGAAAGATTAATGTCAACTTGTTTCCTTTCAATAATGTCAAAACACTTGGTTTGGGTGTTCTTGTTTAGTTTTGACTTTTATTATTCTAATGTGGAAGTGATTTTGCTTTAAACATTCATCAGGAGGAATGTTTCAATCTTATTGAAGTAACATGTTTTGATATTTTTGAATCACTCCTCTTTTTTTTTTTATGGAACTTCTGCCCTGCTAAATATTTCATGGGTTTTACTCCCTACACAAAGAAATGCAGAAACCAGGGGATTTTTCTCAGGTCAGAAAACGGAATTTCCAAATAAATTCAATTCCCTGACCTCTGTAAGGTGATGAAACCTTCAAGCTGTGTTTGCCTGATGCTGACAAGGAGAGGGTGGGAATTGGGAGCTCAAATTCCTCATTTTTCTCCCATTTTTAACCCCCTGATTTGAGCTGGGATCATGCAGAATGACAGGAAAGGGTGAGGAGAGGCTGCCACAATGGGAATTTTTTATGTCCATTTGTGGAGGAGTTTTGGGGCTGCCACGATGGGAATTTTTTGTGTCTGTGTGTGGAGTTTTAGGGCTGCCAGAATGAGAATTTTTGATTTCCAGTTGTGGAGTTTTGGAGCTGCCAGGATGGAGTCAGGCAGGAATTTTTTGTGTCCAATTTTGGAGGAGTTTTGGGGCTGCCACAATGGGAATTTTTTGTGTCCATGCGGGGAATTTTGGGGCTGCCAGGATGGAGTCAGGCAGGAATTGTTTGTGTCCATTTTTGGAGGAGTTTTGGGGTTGCCACAATGGGAATTTTTTGTGTCTGTGTGTGGAGTTTTGGGGCTGCCAGGATGGAGTCAGGCAGGAATTTTTAATGTCCATATGTGGAGGATTTTTGGGGCTGCCAGAATGGGAATTTTTGATTTCCAGTTGTGGAGTTTTGGGGCTGCCAGGACGGAGTCAGGCAGGAATTTTTTGTGTTCATGTGTGGAGGAGTTTTGGGGCTGCCAGAATGGGAATTTCTTGTGTCCATATGTGGAATTTTGGGGCTGCCACGATGGAGATAGGCAGGAATTTTTTATGTCCATTTGTGGAGGAGTTTTGGGGCTGCCACAATGCAAACTTCTTGTGTCTGTGTGTGGAGTTTTGGGTCTGCCACGATGAGAATTTTTTGGTACAGGATGAGCTGGGAGGTGAATCCACTCCTGCTCCATGTCCTGAGGGATGGCGGGAGTGAGGCGTGTTGGTGGCACAGAATCCTGGGACGCTTTGGATCAAGGCAGGACCTCAAAGCCCATCCCAATCCATGGGCAGGGACAGCTCCCACTGCCCCAGGGTGCTGCAGCCTGGCTGGGGACACTGCCAGGGATGGGAATCCTAACCCAAAGCCAACAAGCAGAGGGATCCCAGGACATCCAGCAGCTGTGACAGCAGCCCTGGGGACACTGGGGACACTGGGGACAGCCCTGCAGCTCCCAGGGCCATCACTGGCATTGCTAACTGCATTTCCAGGCTGTGGGGAGGGAAGGGATGACAGCCGTGGGTGTTTGGAGTGGCAGCAGGGAGCGTCCCCAGCCCGCCGGGCCCCTCAGGCACGCTGATGAATGTTCCAAATCCACTCCTCCCATCCCAGCTCGTTGCTATTCCTTGAGTTTTCCAGCTGAATTTTCATTTCATGCTAGGCACTGTTGGCCTTGTGCGTTTTTGCTGGGAGGAATGAACAGTTCAGTGCAGCTTTAACACCCCAAATTTTCATTTTCCATCCCCAATATGCAAGTGCAGCTCCTAAACAGTTGGATTTGGAAGCTGTGCAGGAAGATCCGTAAATCCTGGCCAAGTGCTTTCACTGAGAGGCAAAAAGCGCAGCCTGTTTCACGAAAACTTTTAATATTAATTTATGTTAAATTATTTTGGGGATGCTTCATTAGCTAGCAGTGAGTTTTCTGCTCGAGGTGCAGCAGAAGCTCCGTGACTTCTGCTCGAAATACACCTGGATGTGGAGTTGCCTGGAGCCAGAATAATAATGAGGGATGCTTGTTGTTATTCCAGCCAAATTGGGATATTAGAGGGAGTCATGCAAATCTCAGCTTCCATGATTTGCCTCTGCAAAGGAAGTGTCATAAAAGAGATTTCCAATTTGGTGCAGGAAATTGGAAGCGGGGAGGAAAAGACAGCGAGACTGATCAGAGATGATGGGGATAAAAATCAGAGGATTGGGAGAGGAGAAGAGTGTGGAGTGAGTAAATAATGTGGGAACACTCAGGAGGATGAAGGAGTGAAGATTTTGGGGATAAAAAACAAAGGATTGGGAGAGGAGAGGAGCTTGGAGCAGATAAATAATGTGGGAACACTCAGGAGGATGAAGGAGTGAATATTCTGGGGATAAAAACCAGATTGGGAGAGAAGAGTGTGGAGCAGGTAAATAATGTGGGAATACTCAGAAGGAATGAAGATTTGGGGAATAAAAAATAGAGGACTTTGAGAGGAGAAGAGTGTGGAACAGATAAATAATGTGGGAACACTAAGGAGGAATGAAGGAGTGAAGTTTTTGGGGATAAAAACCAGAGGACTGGGAGAGGAGAGGAGCTTGGAGCAGGTCAGTAACGTGGGAACACTCAGGAGGATGAAGGAGTGAATATTTTGGGGATAAAAACCAGAGAATTGGGAGAGAGAAGTGTGGAGCAGATAAATAATGTGGGAACACTCAGAATGAGTGAAGTTTTTAGGGATAAAAAACAGATGTCTCTGAGAGGAGAGGAGTGTGGAACAGGTAAATAATGTGGGAACACTCAGGAGGAATGAATTTTTTAGGGATAAAAACCAGAGGACTGGGAGAGGAGAGGAGTGTGGAACAGGTAAATAATGATAAACACTCAGGAGGAATGAAGTTTTTGGAGCTAATAGTGATCCAGGGCAGGGAGCCCTTTGGAAATGGGCTTGGAGGGAGCAGGGGATAACAGGAAATTGTGCCTGGGGTTCATTTGGAGTCCAAATGAGAGAGGGATTAACTCAGTGTGGGGACAAGGCAGGAATGGGAATGGGATTGGGGAAGGGAGGGAAGGAGAAGGAACAACCCAGCAAATTCCCTCTGTGTCCCTGTGCCAGGGAGCTGAGGGTTGCTCCTGCTTGGAGAGATGTGAGCCCTTGAATTCAGAATTTCCTAGAGCAGAGGAGAGCACGAGCTGCTTTGGATCCTTGTGTTCTTCATTTATTTCCCTGCATTTTGTTTTTCTTTTTTTCATTTCAGCTGGGATTGTCACAGAACCTTGGAATGGTTTGGGTTGGGAGGGACATTAAAGATGATCCAGTTCATGGGCAGGGACACCTCCCACTGTCCCAGGGTGCTCCAAGCCCTGGCCTTGGACACTGCCAGGGGCAGCCACAGCTTCTCTGGGAATTCTATTCCAGCCCCTCCCAGCCCTCACAGGGAACAATTCCTCCCTGATATTGAATCCCAATCTCCCCTCCCTCCTCCTGAAACCCTGGATTTGAGGCTGGGCGACCCTCAGGAGGGGTTTTTAGGAGAGAATCAGGGTTGGGATGCCACAACCTGGTAGGGGGTGCACCAGCTGGGCCTCAGCCCCTTCCCCACACCCAAATCCCGTGTTCTCTCTTCCAGCCCCTTCTCCACACCCAAATCCCGTGTTCTCTCTTCCAGCCCTTTCCCACACACAAATTTTGTATTTTCTCTCTTCCAACCCCTTCCTCATACCCAAATTCTTCCTTCCACCCTTTTCCCCACTTCCAAATTCTGTGTTCTTTCTTCCAGCCCTTTCCCACACCCAAACCCTGTGTTTTTTCTTTCACCCTCTTCCCCACACTCAAATTCACTCTTCCAGCCCCTTCTCACACCCAAATTCTGTTTTCTCTCTTCCAGCCCCTTCCCATGCTCAAATTTCTTCCAGCCCCTTCCCCACCCCAAATCCTCTCTTCCAGCCCCTTCCCACACCCAAATTCTGTTTTCTCTCTTCCAACCACTTCCCCACCCAATTCTGTTCCCAAACCCAAATTCCATTTTTTCTCTTCCAGCCCTGTCCCTACACCCAAATTCTTCCTTCCACATTCTTCCCCACACCCAAATTCTGTGTTTTCTCTCTTCCAGCCCCTTCCCACACCCAAATTCTGTGTGTTCTTTTTTCCAGAGATCGACCAGGGCAGCTGTGGTGACCCCGGCGTGCCCGCCTTCGGCCACAGAGAAGGCTCCACCTTCCGCCACGGGGACACTCTGCACTTCGAGTGCCAGCCTGCCTTCGAGCTGAAGGGCCACAAAAGCATAACCTGCCAAAAGAGCAGCCAGTGGTCTGCTCAGAAACCTGTGTGTGTTTGTAAGTGGCTCAGGAGCTCCAGAGCAGCGCCCTGGGTCCTCCCCGAGGGGACCCCGGGGTGGTGGCACCTGCCCGGTGTCACCTTCAGCCAGCTCGGGGAGAGGTTTGGGCTCTTCCCTGGGCACAGCAGAGGGAGATTTGGGCTGGGCTGGGCTCTTCTGCCTTGTCCTGAGGGAAAAATCAGCCCTTGGTGGCCAGCACAGACAGGACGTGGCCAAATTCCGGATTTAAACTTGGATTCTCTTTGCAAAGAGAGTTTTGGGCTGTGCTGGGCTCTCCCTTCCCTTCCCTGAGGGAAAATCAGTTTTTGGTGGCCAGCACAGACAGGACAAAGCAAATTCCAGATTTAAACTTGGATTCTGTTTGCAAAGAGAAATTTGGGCTGTGCTGGGCTCTCACTTCTCTTCCCTGAGGGAAAATCAGTCCATGGTGGCCAGCACAGACAGGATGTGGCCAAATTCCGGATTTAAACTTGGATTCTCTTTGCAAAGAGAGTTTTGGGCTTGCTGGGCTCTCCCTGCCTTGTCCTGAGGGAAAAACCAGCTGTTGGTGGCCTTGCCACAAACAGGACAAAGCAAATTCAAGATTTAAACTTGGATTCTCTTTGCAGAGAGAAATTTGGGCGGTGCTGGGCTCTCACTTCTCTTCCCTGAGGGAAAACCAGCCGTTGGTGGCCAGCAGAGACAGGACATGGCCAAATCTACAATTTAAATTTGGATTCTGTTTGCAAAGAGAGTTTTAGGCTGGGCTGGGCTCTCCCTTCCCTGAGGGAAAATCAGTTTTTGGTGATGGCCAAATCTACAACTTAAACCTGGATTCCGTTTACAAAGAGAGTTTTGGGCTGGGCTGGGCTCTCCCTGCCTTGTCCTGAGGGAAAAATCAGTTGTTGGTGGCCTTGGCACAGACAGGACATGGCCAAATTCAGGATTTCAACCTGAATTCTGGTTTTGGCCCCTCATTTTCTCCTCATGATCCCACCCTCTCCAGGCTCCCTCCTGCCAGGCCTTGCATTTGCATTTCTTGCCCAAGTTCTCAGCAGGTTTGGGACGTCCTGCTCTCCGTGGTGACTCAGGATCACATTTTGGGGTGGAAATGGGAGTTCCTGCATAGTCCCAATAGGGTTTAAATGCTCTCGGTGTCCTCTGTAGATATGCTGGACAATTTTCTTTATTGCCCTGACAGGACCTTCCTGCAGGAGTTTTCCCCAGAGTTTTTCCTCTGTTTTCCTCATTTGGTGATAACCTCACTCTTCTTTTTCTCTCCTTTTCTGCTTTGTTGGCTCTGTTAAAATCTGGGCCTTGGAGCAGGGGAGTGAGGCTGAGCCTGAAAAGGAGAGGAAAATGCAGTCGAGGGAGGGGAGAACGGAGAGGGAGAAAGCAGAAATGTTGTTTTTAGAAGTGCAGCTCCCAAACTGGGTGGGATTCCAGTGGAAATGTGGCATGGCAGGAGCTGATCCATGGAAAGGATGGAGCTGGGGGGGAAAAAGCAGATCCTGCAGATCTGGATGAGGGTCTGGAGGAGCTGGGGGAGAATTTGGGGTCACGGAGAAGGGGGAGAAGCAGTTTGAAGTCAGTGCCTTTCTTTTCAAACACTTATTTAAGCTCAGTGAAATACCTGGAGAAAGGAAGCAATTCCTCAGAGTCCTGCCTTTCCTTTTCCAGCTGCCATCCCTCCCTTCCTGTTTGTTCTTGGTTTTTTTTTTTTTCTTTGTAAACAAATCAGCTGGAGGTGCTGCTGAGGAAATAAATAGTGGAGTTTTTCCTGATGATCTGGGAGGTGGGCAGCGTTAAACTGGTTCTGTGCTGTTTTTTCCTTTTTAATTTCTTGGAATTTCAGGTGACTTTGGGCAAGTTGGGGTGGTTGAGGCTCGTGCTGAGAGTTTGGAGTGAGAATAAACCTGTGGTTGGTGATCAGGGCAACAGAATTGGGTCACAGCAGAATAGAAAGGAGACTTTTTGGTAAAATAGGATTATTGATGTTGATCAAATGGCAGGAATCTTTCAGTTAAAATATTTCCAGTGTGATCTGTTCTCTGTGGCTCTTGAGATATTCATGGATCAACAAGACAATGTGCAGACAGTGGGAAAAATACTTCACATCCCCCTCTAGAGCTTCACTCCTGATTTACTGGGGAGCAGGAGGGGTCACGGCAAAATGTGTCTGAATTCCAGGTGGGAAATGTTGGGAGCCCATCAGATGTGAGGTGGGGGGGAAATGAGGGAACCCCCTTTGCTCCTGTGAAATTTGGGGTCGGGGGTTTGTTCCTTTGAAATCTGGGTGTTGGGGGGTTTGTTCCTTGGAAATTTGGGTGTTGGGGGGTTTGTTCCTGTGGTGTTTGGGAGCCTGGTTGGTTTTGGGATGTCTGGGAGTGTGTTCCTCTTAAATATGGTTGTCTGCTTCTGTCAAATGTCAGTGGCTGGGTGTCTTTTTCTGTACAATTGAGATGTCTGAATGTTTGTTTCTGTACAATTTAGATGTCTGAATGTTTCTGTACAATTTAGGTGTCTGAATGTTTGTTTCTGTACAACTTGGGTGTCGGGGTATCTGTTCCTGTACCTTGTGGGTGCCTGGCTGTTTGTTTCTGTACAACTTGGGTGTCAGGGTATCTGTTCCTGTACTTTGTGGGTGTCTGAGTGTTTATTTCTGTGGAATTTGGGTGTCTGAGTGTTTATTTCTGTGCAATTTGGGTGTCTGAGTGTTTATTTCTGCGCAATTTGGGTGTCTGAGCGTTTATTTCTGTCCAATCTGAGTGTCTGCATGGCTGTTTCTGTGCAACTGTGTGTAGCTGGGTGTTTGTTCCTGTTCCATCTGGGTGTCTGTTCCTGTTCAATGTGAGTGTCTGAACGGTTTTTTCCTGTTAAATTTGGGTGTCTGGGTGCCTGTTCCTGTTCAGTTTGAATGTTCGGCTGTCTGGGTGTTTATTTCTGTACCATTTGGGTGTCTGGGTGTTTATTTCTGTCCAATTCAGGTGTCTGGGTGTCGTTTCCTGTTCAATTTGCATGTCTGGGCGTTTATTTCTGTACAGTTTGGATGTCTTTCTGTACCATTTGGGTGTTTGGGTGTTTATTTCTGCACAATTTGAATGTCTGCATGGCTGTTTCTGTGCAACTGTGTGTATCTGGGTGTTTGTTCCTGTTCCATCTGGGTGTCTGTTCCTATTCAATGTGAGTGTCTGAATGGTTTTTTCCTGTTAAATTTGGGTTTCTGGGTGTCTGTTCCTGTTCAATGTGGGTGTCTATTTCTGTGTAATTTGGGTACTTGGGTGTCTGTTTCTGTTCAATTTCTCTGTTGAGTGTCTGAATGTTTCTTTCCTGTTAAATTCGGGTGTCTGGATGCCTGTTCCTGTTCAGTTTGGGTGTCTGGGTGTTTATTTCTGTATAATTTGGGTGTCTGGATGTTTATTTCTGTATAGTTTGGGTGTCTTTCTGTACCATTTGGGTGTCTGGGTGTTTATTTCTGTATAATTTGGGTGTCTGGATGTTTATTTCTGTATAGTTTGGGTGTCTTTCTGTACCATTTGGGTGTCTAGGTGTTTATTTCTGTATAATTTGGGTGTCTGGGTGTTTCTTGCTGTACAATTCAGGTGTCTGGGTGCCTGTTCCTGTTCAGTTTGGGTGTCTGAGTGTTTGGGTGTCTGGGTGTTTACTTCCATACAGTTTGGGTGTCTTTCTGTACAATTTGAATGTCTGGCTGTGGCTGATGGCTGAACAACCATCCTGCACTGCTTACACCAGCTCCGTAGTTCCGTTGTTGTCTTTAAAAATGGCATTTCCAGGATTGGGGAATGCGGTGTCTGCCACAGGCCAGGGCAGTTCCACACCCTGAACTCGATTTTGGCCAGAGTTTATTCCTTTTTCTCAGCAAAATGGGCTCGGGGGGGGGGTTATATAAATATGCCTGAAGGAAAACCCTTGTGCTCCCTCAGCTGAGGTTTGTGCTGTGATGTGGGGAGAGGATATCGTGTGGCTGAGGAGATTATTCAGTTTATAAAGGGAGAATCAGCTCCATCATTCCAGCTCTGGAGCTGCCGACACCGAGGATGGAGATGTGGTGAGGGAGTGGGACATCCCAGAACTGCCAAAACCTCCAGATCCAGGGTGGGAATTGCTGTTCAAACATCCTCGTGTGGAGCAGAGAAGAAACCCCTCATTTTCTGATTTTATTTGCAGTAGGAGGCCCCCAAAATTCACTTTATGAGGTTTATTTGACAGAAAGAGCAGGGCCCTGCTGCTCCTGGGGGGGTTGTGCAGTGAGAGAGTTGTAGAGGGATTTTTATTCTTCCCTTCCCTGCTCCTCCTGCCTTTCCCAAGTTTTCATCCTGCATTTTTCTCTGGGTGCTTGACCCGTGCCAGGCAGCGCCGTCCTGTTCCGTGGGGAGTGATGGTGGCACTAGGAGTGACAATAAATGCCATTGTCACCGCCTTGGGCAGTAAAGGCAGAGCTCCTGCCTTGGTTCAGGTGCCCTCTGCCAGGTCTGGGAGAGTCATTCCAGAATTCCTGCTGCAGGCTCAGTTTGTTGGGATCAGACTTGGAAAATCCAGGTTTTCTGGACCCGCCTCATGTTTGACAGGGAATTAAATGGTGGGGGAGTAAAAGGAGGAGATTTGTGCCCAAAAAAATCCTGGGGAGGGGGAGGATCTGCGCTGACCCCAGCGGGGTTGGGTTGGTTGGCGTCACTCAGCAGAGTTTTGGGATTCACGTGCTCATTCCTGGGAAAGTTTGGGGATAAATCTGGGGAAGTTTGAATGGATTGGGAACAAACACATTCATTTCTGGGAATGGTTTGGGTTTGAGATTCATGTGGTCTTTTCCTGGGAAAGTTTGAATGGGTTTGGGATAAATCTGTTCATTCCTGGGAATGTTTGGTTTGGTTTGGGATAAATCTGGTAATTCCTGGGAAAGTTTGAATGGGTTTGGGATAAATCTGGTCATTCCTGGGAAAGTTTGATTTGGTTTGGGATAAATCTGTTCATTCCCGGGAATGTTTGATTGAGTTTGGA